TGGCCCCCCCCCCCCCTCCATGCATTTTTGCAAGAAAGAAAGAGAAAGAAATCCTTTTTAAAAATTACACACCTTCATTTTATGGTAAAAATGTCATTTTCATTGCATCAGATGGCAAAAAAAGTTTCTTCCCCCCTTTCTGTTATAGATTTTAGGTGATTTGGGCTTGTGTGGTAATAAAACATATTGTGGTAGTTTGACTGCGCTAGAGATTCGGGAGCGGGCAGGTGACGGAGTGCAAGGGTTAGAGGTGACCGTTGATGAGGTGTTGGGTTTATCGGTGACTGATTTAGGTGTTGGGTTTAGGGGTGACCGATGATATGTTTATAGATGACAAATGATGACACGTTAGAGGTGACAGTTGATGAGGTGTTGGGTTTAGGGGTGACCAATGATATGTTATAGGTGATAGTTGATGAGGTGTTGGCTTTAGGGGTCACCAGGAGTGACTGAGGACAGCAAGCATTACATTTAGGGGTGACAGTTGATGAGGCGTTGGGTGTTGGGGTGACTCAGGACAGCAAGCAATACATTTAGGGGTGACAGTTGATGAGGCGTTGGGTGTTGGGGTGACTCAGGACAGCAAGCAATACATTTAGGGGTGACAGTTGATGAGGCGTTGGGTGTTGGGGTGACTCAGGACAGCAAGCAATACATTTAGGGGGGTGACAGTTGATGACAGTCTTGATTTGGTGTAGAGGGTGACCAATGACCGCATCATATAGATTTAGCGATAACAGGTGATGAAGCATTAGATTTAGGGGTGATGTAGCATTAGATTTAGGGGTGATCGATAATGATGTGTTTTAGATGAGAGATGATGATTTAGGGGTGATTGGCTGATTCAGTTGGGCTTGTGCGTTGCTGTAATGTAACATCACAACGTTGAGTTATGACAGATAAAGCGTTATAAATTTAGGGGTGACCTGAAAGAGTTATAGGTTTTAGAGGGGACAGATGACGAATCATTATAGATTTAAGGGGGACAGATGATGAAGTGTTAAATTTAGGGATGACCAATGACGACATATGTATTAGGAGATGAGAAATGACGAATCGTTAGATTTAGGAGGGACAGAATGATTGATTTGGGCTTTTGTGGGACTCTAATAAAAAAATCATAACCTTGATATATGACAGATGATGAAGCATTATTGATTTGGAAGGAACAGATAATAAAGCATTATGGATTTAAAGGAGAACTATGGGGTCAGTGTTTTTCCCCATAGTTCTCCTTAGGGTAACGGGAGGACACAAACTAGCGTCCTCCCGTTACCCTAAGCTCAGTATACCGCGAGCTACAGCTCGCAGTATACTGAGACGCCGCAACCGGAGCGGATCCCGACGTAGATGACGGGATCCGCCCAGCTGCGTGAGTGACAGCTGGCTCTGCCAGCTGTACCCGCCCCCTCCCCGTCCGTTCCGCCAGTCAGCGCTGGCAGATCGGAGCGGGGAGAGGGGAATCCAGCCACTCCCCCTGTCACGGCAGAGAGCTGTGACAGGATCGAGAGGTGAGCGAACCTGGTATGTGTTCGCTCACCTCCCGATCTACTGAGCCGACCTGTGACAGTCTCATTGTCCCAGGGCGGCTAGAACTATGAGGTGAGTGGAAATCACTCATCTCATAGTTCTCCTTTAAAGGTGACAGATGATGAGCTGGATGATTTAGGGTTGACCAATGATGACCAGGTATATAGTTAGAGATGAGAAATGACGAAGCCTTAGATTTAGGAGTGTGGTACTGTAATAAAACATAACATTGAGTTATGACGGATGATGAAGCGTTTCAGATTTAGAGGTGATATGACAAAGCGGTATCACTTTGGGAGGACAGGTGACAAAGTGTTCTAGATTTAGAGTTGACAGATGAGCTGTTAGATCGAGGGGTGACCGATGGTGTGCTATAGATGACAGATGATGAAACATATATTTCGGGGTGACAGACTGATTAATTTGCTCTTGTGTGGTACTGTAATGAAACATCCTCACGATGAAGTGTTATAGATTTGAGGGTGGGTGTGTGTGGGTGGTGACGGAGTGTCACATTTAGACATTACAGATGACAAAGTGGTAAAGGTTTTGGGGTAACTGCTGAATGTACAGCGGCGGATATTCACCATCTCACTGCAGCTTTCATTTGAACATGCCAATGAAAAATGATCTCATCAACTTCTAAATCTGTGTTTTCCCTTTTTTATATTCGGGTTTCAGGTCGGAGTGAATTATGTCTGCTGTGGAGTCGGCTTGTGTGGTGAAGCATTAAAACGATGTAACTAGGAATAGCAGAAAAAATGGGGTACCAAGCGAGGCAAAAATAATGATTAATGAATTGAGTTAAAATATAATTTTATTACACATAGTAGGATCAACAACATGATCCATATGTAAGAAGTTCCCTTTTCCATATGGACCATATTTTTTCTACTCTGTGTAATAAAATGATATTTTAACTCAATTAATTAATCATTATTTTTGTCTTGCTTGGAACCCCATTATTTTCTGCTTTTCCTACTTATACTTTATTGAAGGGGGTCGAGGCCTTTCTTTCCTTTTGAGAGTGCTTGCTTGGTCTGTTGTTGGGGTAGTAATATACATTTTTTTGTAAATATTAAACTGGTGTAGTGGACGAATCGTTCTAGATTTAGGGCTGACATAGCGTTATGGATTAAAGGGTTTTTGCATATATCTACGGCTAGCATGCAGTAGATATATGCAAAAAGTGTTAAAACCGCTTTGAAAAGGCTTAATACTTGTGTCTTCCCCGCGCGCTCCCGTCCGAAAATGGGACGGCCGCAAAGCATCTTGGCGCATGCGCAGTTCACCTTTTCGGCCGGGACGCGAGGAGAGACGGAAGGTAAGTCTATGAACGGCCTGCAGCATGCACAGAGGAGTCGGCGCTGGATCGGAGACCCGCCGCAGTGCTGGAGGGACAGATGAAAAGGACAGGAAAAAGATTTTTGACTTTAATGTCACTTTAACTGCTTGAAGACCAGGTGTTTAGATCCCCTACCTGGCCAGGCCATTTTTCAGTGTTCAGCGCTGCGGTACTAGATGGTTGTCCAGTTGTATATAATTAGGGTGTGATGGATAATGAAGTGTTATAGATTTAAGGGTGACGGTTGACAAAGTGTTATGGATTTATGAGTGATAGATGATGAAATGCCATTAATTTGGGAATTGTGATTCTTTTTGATCAGGGTTTTGAAATGAAAGTTGTATTGAGAAGCAGAATATCCATCGACTCTGCTGTTCTTTTGTAGTTGGTTGACAATAGAAACAATTATGGGATTCCACGCTGTTCGTTTCTTTGTTACTCTGTTTTTGTGGCCGACCTACCTTTGTCCACATGACGGAGTAATGACAAGCAATGAGGAAATATGGAGTATCTATCTATCTATCTATCTATCTATCTATCTATCTATCTATCTATCTATCGTGACCACAGTGGCCAGATCATGTTCTGATAAAGACATTTTTTAGACTTGTCTTGGCTTTCCATTGGAGCCTATAGACCAAAATCTGTAACTTGGACCCTCTGTCAAATTATTACTAAAGTCCCCATTGGGGGTGGGGGTGGTGGGATTCACCCCTCTGTCACTGGTGATTAATGTAAGGGGAAATCCAAAACATTAGAGTTTCCCCAGGGAAAAACCAATGAGGACGTTTGTCTGAAATGGAATCTCCCTTATTTTGGTAGAATTCTACTAACTTCCATTTGTCTCTGGGACAGGAAGTTTAGGGAAATTTCCCTCCGACAGCAAAAAAAAAAAAATCCTGGCAAGGGGTTGTAATTTTTCTTCACACTTTAAAAAAAACAAACTGGATATACATGTAAAGAGGTAACTATTTTTGCATTATACTATGACTGGCTTCTGATTGGAGCATATAGAGCCCAGGCTGATGATCGTAATCTGTAATGTCTGTGTCTTGTGATTCAGTCCCCATTGGAACATAAGACATATATGTGACTCTGGCTTTGTCATATTTGGGTTGTGTTTTGCAATTGACCAAAAAAGTGCAATCCATTAAAAGTAAAAATATATTGTGTATCCATTACAATTGAGAAGGTTCTTTACATTCTGCTGTTGCTTTTGAGTAGAAATACCTTTCAGGTCAACTTTGCTCAGCAGTAAGATTATATATGGGATAACATCACCGTTTTTCTTTTTAATAAGCACATTATAATTATTGGATACGTTTGACAAAGGCACTTGGCTTCCCTCAGTATAAATGGAAAGGAACTGTACACGCTGGAGTAAAAGTTGTAATTTACTTGGAATTGTTTGAAAGTGTTCCCATTAGTTCCATTGCTGTCCATTGATATCACATGATTGGTTACAGACCTTTAAATGTGTGTGTACATTGGGTAAATATAGTGTTGACAGTCTGGCTCCTGAATTCCATATTAATTTGGCCACCCCAGCTTTAGTCACAATAATTTATTTTTCTAAAGGGTGCGTTACTACTTTACTCTTTGAATTATTGAGAAAGTAGGGTTGATTTACTAAAGGCAAATGGGCTGTTTTACTTTGTAAGCAAATTTTCCCTATAATGAATGAGGTGAAAATTGCACTGTGCAAAGAATACCCAATCGCATGCAAGGAAAATGTAAAAAAATAAATAAATGCATTTTTGCTTGCACATTGGATGATGAAAGTCAGCAGCACTTCACTTCATTCACCAAGCTAAGGGAAAATTCCATTGCAAAGTGAACAGCCTTTTTGCCTTTAGTAAATCAACCCCTGTTGGTTCTATTTAGATAGAGAGGATGGCTTACGAAAGGATTTGAGAATGTTCACACAATAAAATGTATGACGGTTCACTTGAGTTATCTCAATCATGTGAAAAGACCCCATTTTACTTGTTTCATCTGCCCATGACTGGATAATTGAGGGGAACCTTCACACATTTTATTTTGTGAACATTCTGAAATCCTGTACTTAAATCGGCCTCGCAGTGCGTTATTTGCCGTAGCGTATATTGTATTTGAAGTGAATGTTGGCACGAAAATGAAATACCAATAATAAATAAATATATCTTACAGTAAACAGATCAACAAGCTTACATCTGAATGTGAACAAGTAATATTCAAACCCTTATTTCCTCACTAAGTTCCCTCTGCTATTTAATGTTCACATGTCAGTGTTAAGTTGCCATGTCCAAGTGCATTCATTAACATCTGAACAGTCTGTTTACAGAGCAACACCAGGCACCCCCTCTCGGCTTCTGAGAACTGTGATAGGGATATGAAAAATTTCCCATCATGCACCATAGGCTCCAGAGTGACTGATCGCAGATATGATGTCACTCTTATAATTCATGGTGTTTGACAGCAGAGAGTGTTCCTAGTGGAAATTATGTGTGCATGTGTTTTCTGTTGTTGCAAATCATACAAAGGGAATATGCTGCATGTGTATTTTTTTTCTGTTTTAATTTTACCTGATAGTATTTCTTTAAGGCACATTCTATTTTTAAGTTTTGCATTATTTTATTTGAATTGAGATCATGGAAAGCCAGATACAACACACGTTTATCTTGTTGATGTGTCTTCTTAAGAGTGAAACATAGCAGACGTATTAGCATGCACAATAAATGTTTTCAGCCCATTTTGATATGGTGGCAGCAGCTGTACAGCGTTCTGTAATGTTAGAACTAATGTATATAATTAGACATTATATTCCATACTCCCATCACAGTAAAAGCATGCTTCCGACCCAATCCTATTTTACAACATTTTGAATGAAAGTCTAGAACGTTTTAAATGATTTGAGAATGTTCACACAATAAATTGTGTGACTTCACTTCAGTGATACAACAATGTGCAGATGAAATAAGTTAACAGGGATTTTCTTGTACATTGAAGTGAATCTTCACCCCCAATTGATCATGTAAACATTCTCCAATTTTTTCATACATCAGCCTCGATTGTGTATTTATGGAAGTAATTTTGGGGTATTTTGTGTGTTAAAGGAAAATGCTGTTTGTTTTCATGTTCTGTATTTAGAGTTAGGTTTAAGTTCGCATGAAAGAGATTTGGAAGTGAATTATACTGGTTGTGTTCAGTATTTTCATTCTCCCCCTAGTGGCTCGCTGTGTATCAGACAAGGGCAGTTAGGACTGCTTGGATAAAACCAGTAACACCCAGACAATGTGCATTTGTGATCAGTCTGACTTGAGGCTTGCATTGAAGGAGAGACATTTTAAAGTGCAATAACTTTTATGGTTATACTAAGTAGTGTAATGAGCAGCAATGACTGCCCCGTGTACACGTAGCAATAGAAACTAGGTGTAAACATCACATATTGGAAAGGATACTTAAATTCATCTACACACACACACACACACACACACACACACACACACACACACACACCTATTAATAATTCCTTAAGTATTCTCTAGCAAGACAACATAGACTGTGTATTCAGTTTTACAACTGTTACTGAATGTGTTTTCCATTATTAACCCCTGAACAATATAGCGAAAAGCTAAGCTTTGCTTTATTATTATTATTCAGGATTTATATAGCGCCAACAGTTTGCGCAGAGCTTAACAATATAAGGAAGACTTTACAGTTACAATATAAATCAAGACAAGATGGTAAGAAGGGCCTTGTCCGTGAGAGCTTACAATCTAAATGACTGCTGTATGGCAGTAACTCTGCATTATATATATGCATTATATATGCATTATAT